CAACCATGGTGGAAGGACATGGGCACGGAGGCCGTCCTCAGTTCCCAGCTCTGGGGGAGGGCAGAGGAGGAATAAATGAGGAGTGGTGTCTGAGGCCCAGACTAGGTCTTTGATGTGTGCGTGGGTAGGTGGGCGGGTGGAGCCTGTAACAGGAGCAGCTGAGGGAAAGGGGAAGGGGGTCCCCCGGGGGCATCCTCAGTGTTGACCTACTTAGGCCCTCCATAATTGCCTCCTTCCTTTCTTGGGAAGCTACAAATAGGAACACCCTGTCCCTGGGCTTCTACAGCTGAACGGCCAGCATCAGCGGTGAGTGCCAGCTGCTGGGGTCCTGCCCTGGGTCGCGTGTCAGGGCAGTCAGGGGACTTCAATAGCCAGCCTGCCTCCTGACGCAGGGACTGGAATGGGGGCAGAGAGGTGACCACAGCAGGGACTGATGGGGTGAGGAAAGTCAGATGTGGTGGGCTCAGGGGTTTCCTTGCACAGGGAGGTACCTTGAGAAGTTTGGGCTGGAAGGTGTGCAGAGCTGAGTTCTGGGGTGGGAGCACTGAGCTATAAGTTCTGGTGTGACCCTTGGTCAGTTCCTTGCCCTCCTCCTTGCCTCATTCCTGAGGACAGGCTGTCTAGAGCTGCACGGGGAAGAGAGAATTCCCTACAATCTCCAGGCACTGTGCTTCTCAAAGAGCAGTAGTGGCAGTGCCAGGCAGGCTGTCAGGAGCCCGGGAGAGCATGCTGAGCCCCTCTGAGTTTTCTCATTCCCTGAGGCCATGACCCCTTCTTTTCCTGAGAACCTAGACACCTTGCTCCAATCCTGAGCTGTCACAAAGAATTAGACCCGGCCAGGCTCGGTGGCTCAGCTTGTAATCCCGCACATTTGGGAGGCTGAGGTGAGTGGATTGCCTGAGCCCGCGTGTTCAAGACCCGCCTGGGCAACTTGGTGAGACCGCATCTCTACAATAAATCAGAAAATCAGCCGGGTGTGATAGCGCATGCCTGTAATTCTGGCTACTCGGAAGGCTGAGGCGGTAGGATCGCAGAGCCCAGCAGGTCGAGGCTGCGGTGGCCAGGAGCGGTGACTGCACTCCAGTTTGGGTGACAGAGTGAGACTCCAACTTAAAAAAAAAAAAAAAAAATTAGCCGGGTGTGGTAGCACGCGCCTGTAGTTCTAGCTACTTGGAAGGCTGAGGCTGGAAGGATCACCTGAGCCCAGGAGGTTGAGGCTGCAGTGGCTGGGAGTGTGCCACTGCACTCCAGCCTGGGGGACAGAGTGAGACTCCACTAAAAAAAAAACCCATAAAAACAAAAAAACCCCAAAACAAACCAACAAAAAGAATTAGACCCTGGCAGTGCTAGGCAACCGGTCCCATTTCCCTACTTCCCTGCCAGCCACAACCACACTGGTCACTCGCTCCCAGCAGAGGAGTGAGTCTTGGCCCTGGCTGTTCTGTGTTGCAGGACTTCTGTCCCCCAGGAGACCCAGGAATGAGTCACTGGGCTCACATGGAAACAACTCTTGCCTTCCTGGCTGCCTTAGGGTTTTCCCAGGCTGGAGGCATCACCCCAGAAGGGTGGTGGGAGGGGACAGTGGGTTTAGGAGGAGATGAACAATTCTATGAAGGGCTTTCCCTCTAACAGAAGTGGATACCTCTATAGAAAGTCTTCCATCTTGAACCCCAGGTCAGGAAGATGATCTCAGGAAGGGGCAGGTCACAGACTGATAAATACCTGCTGGTTGATTCTCAAGAGGCCATCTGGTTCAGATCCCTGACTGGGCCTGTGAAGTGGGATTAACCCACTTTACAGATAAGGCACCTGAGACCCAGAGAGGGTAAATGGCTTGCCCAGTGTTGCATAGCTGGTGAGAGGTTTCCTTTGGATGCAGCTTCCTTGGGTTCAGGGCAGGAGGCATGGTGAGGGGAGCAGTGGCAAGGCGGGGTATGGGGGGTGCTCCTCACAGGCCTGACCCTCCCAGCTAGGGCCCAGCTTCTCCAAGGGCCCAAGAGCAAGCAAGTGCTGGTCAAGATCCCTTTGTGCAAGTTCCTGCAGGGAAGGAGGCTTCCAGGGCCAGCAGCTGTCTTACTGGGTCGTGCAGACTGGAACTGAGCCATTCCTGGGTGTTGGAGACAAGAAAAGGTGGCAGAGAATCAGGGAGTCCTCAGGGAGCCCCCCGAGGGGCATGCAGGTGGTGGGGTGGGGTGCTCTCTCCCTGAGGAGTTTACAGGTATGAGGGGAACTTGAGACCTCTGCATAGGAAAATAACAGTGGAGACAGTAGGGAGGGTGGCTGAGGAGGGCTGTGCAGTGGAGGGGGGCTGGTGGGCCTGAAACTTGGGGAGATTAAGGCAGGTCTCGTAGCAGTCCCTGGGAAACACTGAGAACTGAAATGAGCAAGCAACTGGCGTGGGCCTCAGCCATGAGTTGCATCCTTGTCCTCCGACAGCAGGGATGGCCAGGCCCTTGGAGCAGGCGGTTGTTGCCATCCTGTGTACCTTCCAGGAATATGCAGGGCGTCGTGGGGATAAGCACAAGCTCTGCCAGGCAGAGCTCAAGGAGATGCTGCAGAAGGAGCTGCCCACCTGGACCCCGGTGAGCACCAGGGATGCCCACCCCACCCCCATCCAGCGGGAGACACTGCTTGGACTCTTTGAGGAGAGACCTAGGGACAAGCATGGGCATAGGACAGCAAGAGGGGCGGAAACTAGACCTTGGGAAGGGAGTGAAAGGAAGGAAACCAACATGGCAGGAACCTCAGTTTCCTCATCTATAAAATGGGATGATAGTCACACACCTGCTGCCTTGCAGGGCTGTTGGGAGGATTAAGGGAGAGAACCAAGAAGAATACCTCACACATAGTAGGCACTCTGTAGCAAATAGTAGGTATTCCCCAAATGATCCAAGAAGAGGGATTTAGGAGGGGGATTGAAATGGGTGCATTATCAGGACAGACAGGCTGAGGTTGACCCCCAGAAGGGGTTGGGGTGGGGTGGATCCACCAGGGAGGGGAGGGCAGGAAGTGGTGTGCCAGATTGTTTTGCCTCCTCATTCTGCCTCTTCCACCCCTCCCATCCCTCCCTTGCACAGACCGAGTTTCGGGAGTGTGACTACAACAAATTCATGAATGTTCTGGACACCAACAAGGACTGCGAGGTGGACTTTGCAGAGTACATGCGCTCACTTGCCTGCCTCTGTCTCTACTGCCACGAGTACTTCAAGGACTGCCCCCCAGAGCCCCCCTGCTCCCAGTAGCCTCTGCTCCAGAGGGGTGGGCCAGCTGGTGGAGGCAGACACGTCACCCTCTGTCCCTGAGTTAGCCCTGGGTATGTCTCCCACACCCGTCTCTGCCCGCCCTCCCGCACACCTTTCAACCTGGATTTTCCCAGGTTCTCCCTGATCTGTTAACTCATTTTACCCACGAGGCCCAGAGATGCAAGGGCACCTTTCCCAGGATGCCCAACGAGTGAGGAATAGGGCAGTTCCGGGGCCCCACCGCCCTCTGCACCCCTACGGCTTCCCTACTGTGGATGGGCAGAGGCAGGATCTGCTCTGAGGCCATGGAAGCTCAGCAGAGCGTGTGCACAAATGAAGCCATAATGGAAAGGGCCTGTTTAACTCCTAATAAAAAACCGGTGTCAGCTTGGCTTGGTTTATTCTTCTGAGAGGACACGTCAGGGCCTCGGAACAGAGTCCTTGCTGACATCTTTGCTCCTTTCTGGCCTTTTGCAATGGAGGAAGGCGGCTGAGGACAGGAGCAGGAAGCTTCCCATTGGCCTTGAGGGCAGTTTCAGACTCTGTAGAAATGCAATGGTCTCCAGGGTCCAGCAGGAGGGGGTGGGATCAACACAGGGGCGCCAGTCCTCCCTTCTAGGGAAGGCTAGAGGGCCTCTCTCTCTTTTTCTGGGGTCTTTGAGAGAGAAACCCTATTGGGCTGTCAAAGAGGGTGGGAGGGCTGACTGAGGTTCTCCGGGGACAGATGAAACTCAGTCCTCATGATCGGATGTTCTGAAGAGGGTGGGGCTGTGTGGGTAGGGTAGGGGTGTTTGTTCTCTGCCCAGGGCTGTGGGAGCCCAGAGAGCAGCACTAATGGGATTAGGGTGTCTGAGGTGTTTGCTCCCAGCCAGGGAGGGGTGCCCTGTGTGGAGGGGGAGGGGATACCTTGAGGCAGACCCTACCCCTGAAGCTGTAGCCCCTGGGGGCCTTAGCCCCCCACTTCCCACCCTCACCGTGTCCACAGCCCACCCAGAGAGGTTAACTTTGATCCTGACTCCTCCATTTTGTGCAATTTCGTCTTGAACTCTACCCCAACATGGATTCTTCATTCCTAACCCCATCCTAACTCTAATTGCCCCCTCCGGAAACCCTCTCTGATTCTTTCATCCATCCTTGAGCCCCTTATTCCGAACCCACTCCATCACTACCTCACCCAACCTTCCCCACGGACACTCCTGAGGTGGTCCCACAGTCCCCTTTGGGTGTTAGCCCGTTCCCCTCCTGGCCCCCGCGGCCCCTAAAGGGCATGGCAGCGAGTCCTTTGGGGAGGGGAGATGAGGGGGACTGAGCTGACTTTCAGCACTGGGCGTGGGGCTCCTCTCTCAGTTTCTGGACAGCCACATTTCTAGGACAATTTCCTGCCTGTCACCCACCGCCCCTCCATCTCCCTTCCTGGTGGAACTACTTCCTCCTTGTCCCCGACGCCCCGATCTGTCCCTTCCCCCAACTCCTTAAAACTCAGGCTGAGTTGTGTCTACTTTGGTGGTGCCCACTGGCGGTCACCCCTTGCCCATCTGTGCCTGCCCGGGGACAGGAAGCTGGCTTCCTAGGCTGGGCTGGTGGAGGGGCTGTGGCACGTCCCACATCAGCCCACAGCAGGACGGCAGTATCCGCTCTCCCCCATCCCCTGCCAGGGGCAGGGCCTGGCTGGGGTATAAATAGGTCAGACCGCTGGTTCTCCCCACTCTTCTCTCTCCAACCTTCTCTCCTCAGCGCTTCCTCTCTTGACCTGGTGAGTTGTGTTGGCCTGACTGGCATGCAAGGGGTGTCAGAGGCCAGTGCAGAGCCAGGAGAAAGGGAGGCTGGAGGGGGCCAGATGTGCTAAAATGGATCCAGATATGAGATTCTGATGTGGAGGCTTGAGGTGGGGTGTGTGCGTGTGTGTGCATGCACTCACACATGTGCACATAAGAGAGGGGAAAAAAAAAACAGAAAAGGGAACTTGTGGCTGGATTTGCTCTCTCCAAGTGTTTCCCAGATGCTGGGACTTTCATGTGCTGTTGTTGTAGTGTGTGGTGCCGTGGTGTGTGTTGGTGTGTAGGTGACCCGGAGGTAGGCATGATGGCTTGTGTTTGTTGGGCTGCACAAGCCCGTGTGTGCACACTCAGGTGCTGGAAGCAAAGCGAAGGTAGAAGGCAGCTGTGGGCTTGGGTCTGGTGAGGTGCCCTGGGAGCCTCTGCCCTGCGCCCAGCAGCCCTGCCCAAGGGAGGTCGCCCCACCCACCTTCCGCTTGCACCCCTGCCTCTGCCACCTCACCCTGCCCCTCCCTGTGCTGGGTGCTAGGCAGCTGGTTTTTTCCGCTGCAGGCCCCTGGGCAGGCCTCCAGCAGCCACACCCAGCCCAGCACTGGGAGGGAGAAGAATGGCTGGGGCGGAGAATTTGTGGCTGAGCTGTGGGAGTGGATGGGCTGAGTGAGGGATGGAAAGAATGCTGTTGTCCACGGAGGCCTGAGGGAGGCCCCAGGAGTCTGCTGCCTGCGTTTACAGAGCCCTGTCTGGGCCCTGCGAATATTCGCTGTCCAAAGCATACACTCCCCACGGTGCACACCCTTTCTGCCAGGTGCTGCACCCCACTTCCCTGGGCTCTCCTGATATGGAAACAGTCTCACCAAGTGCTTCTTGAGGGGTGGGAGGGGAGTGGGGTATTATGAACACATCGCTGGGGAGCGGGTGGAGATAAGGGTGCCTCTGTGCCTCCTGTCCCCAGATCCTGACTTCCACCATGGCGTGCCCCCTGGAGAAAGCCCTAGATGTGATGGTGTCCACCTTCCATAAGTACTCGGGCAAAGAGGGCGACAAGTTCAAGCTCAACAAGTCTGAGCTCAAGGAACTGCTGACCCGGGAGCTGCCCAGCTTCTTGGGGGTAAGTGGGTAGTGCCTGGGAGTGCACTCCCCATGGGACATTTCCTACAGAGGTGGGCAAGACTCTGGGAGGCACCAGTCTGTGCAGAGTGTCAGTTGCAGCTGGTATCTATTTGGGGTGTGTGGGGGAGGCAGGGGTGGAGGTGCACAGAGCTTGCTCTGGTGCTCTGGAGGCCTGGGTAGAAACACAGGGAACACCACCACTCACTTACTGGCCCCCAGCAGAAAGAGGGCTGAGAATGAATGGGGGGGGCGGTTATGGGCCAGACACTCTGCCAGGTGCTTTGCACAATCTAACGGAAGAGAAAACTAAGTTCTGAGCGCGAAGTAACTTCCCAAGGTAGTCAGTGGACAAAGCTGCGGTCTGGGCCAGGACTGTGTGACTCCTCCCATCACGCCAACCATGAACAGTATTTGAATTTCTAATTGGCTTGTGGATATAAAGACCCAGCATAGCAGTGGAGACACACACCTACAGACTTCCCCCCAAACAATAATAGCTTACATTTTGTTTGTTTGTTTTTGTTTTTTTTTGAGTTGGAGTCTCACTCTGTCGCCCAAACTGGAGTGCAGTGGCCGCTCCCAGTCACTGCAGCCTTGACCCACTGGGCTCCGGGGATCCTTCCGCCTCAGCCTTCCGAGTAGCTGGAATTACAGGCACGCACTACCATTCCCGGCTGATTTTTTTTGATTTCTTGTAGAGATGAGGTCTCGCCAAGTTGCCCAAGCGGGTCTCGAACTCGCGGGCTCAGGCAATCCACTCACCTCAGTCTCCCAAGGCGTGGGATTACAGACTGAGCCACCGAGCCCGTCAATAGCTTACATTTGTATCAAGCATTATACACTCTATACATTGCTTTCATGACCATTATTTAACTGGGTTATTAGAACAACTTTGGGTGAAGATCCATCGTTTGTCAATTGCACCAGGTGCTCAGACTTCCTCACCCATGGAGCATCCTTCCCCATCCAAGCTCAGCCCTGAGTGGCTGGGAGCCTTCTTGAGTTCCATTCTGGAGGTAGAAACCTGGTTTAGCACAGGCTGTCCCCGCTGGGCTTCTGTTTCTACCAGTAGCCTCTTCCCCCTCCAGAAAAGGACGGATGAAGCTGCATTCCAGAAGCTGATGGGCAACTTGGACAGCAACAGGGACAACGAGGTGGACTTCCAGGAGTACTGTGTCTTCCTGTCCTGCATTGCCATGATGTGCAACGAATTCTTCGAAGGCTTCCCCGATAAGCAGCCCCGCAAGAAGTGAAGGCTTCTCCGTGTGGCTCAGGGGTCTGCCAGCGGAGGTCTTCCCTGTCGGCAGTGGGCAGTGCCCCACCCTGGTTTCTTCAGGCATGTGTATGATGCTGAACAAGTTCAATAAAGATTTTTGGAAGCTCTGAGGCTGATGGTCTGAAAGACTCTGAGGGTGTGGGTTGTGGGTTAAGGGATGTGTTGGGGGGTGGGCGGTGCTGGGAGCTGAGTTGTAGTGTTGTGGAGGGCAGGGAAGGCTGGGGAGGATTGTGGGGTGGCTAAGGGTGTGTGTGTGTGTGTGCGCGCGTGCATACGCAATGAAGCTGACTCTGGAGGAGTCAAAAGCAGGGAAAGAGACCCCTCAGGCTTGGAAGGCCCCAGCTGTGGGATCTCCACCAGCTCACTCATCTCTCCCACCTCTGGACCTTGAACTGAGGCTGGGGTTGAAGGTCACAGCTGCTTCTGGTTGGGGTCTGGATTGGAGTCTGGGTGTCCTGGGAGCCAGTTGGAGGAAACAGCATAGGGCTGAGCCACAGGGCAGAAGTAGGTAGGCAAGGGTGGGATGGGAGGAGGGCTGGCACTCAGTCCTGCCACCCTCTTCCAGATCACTGGCTTCGGACCACAGTGATGGATTAATCCTTTCCTGTCCACGGATGGATCAGGGAGGGAATTATGGAAGGAGACCGGGCCATTTGCAGCAGTATGAGAACGGAGTCATTTGGTAGCCCACTGTCTCTGTTGCAAAGGTCCCGGGGATGAGATCTGCCATCAGTTAGGAATCATGCTCCTTCAGAGAAGGACAAGGGACCTCAGAAGGGATGAGTGGGGGGTAGTGGCTGGGGTGGGAGTGAGGGAAATGGAGGGAAGGTAACCATAGTCTTGGAGACAAAATTCCACATATTTGACATGGTAAATGAAAGGGAGACTTTTGGGTCAGTTCTTGTGGCTCATGCCTGTAATCCCAGAATTTTGGGAGGCTGAGATGTGAGGATCACTTGGGCCCAGGAGTTCAAGACCAGCCTGGGCAGCATAGTGAGATCTCATCTCTTTCTCTCTATAAAAAATATCTGAGTGTGGTGATGAGCACTTGTAGCCCCAGCTACTCGGGAGGCTGAGGAAAGAGGATCACCTGAGCCCAGGAGGTCTACTGTGATTGAGTCTACTGTGGTGAGCTGTGATTGTGCCACTATACTCCAGCATGGGTGACAAAGTAAGACACTGACTCAAAAAAAAAAAAGATTACTTTTCCCCTACAAAAAATATGAGGCATAATGTTGCTTCCCCTTAGGGTAGGTTAAAGGCCAGTAGCTTTAGGGTACAATGGATGGCTTAAGATTAGACTTCAAGGCCATGCCTGGATGAAATAGGGAACTTTAAGGAAAAGCCATGTGGAAGTCTGGTCTGGAGGCTGGAGGATTCAGATCCCCCTTGCCTCTTAAGCATCCCCTTTCCTCTCATCCCTATTGTGATTTCCTCTCAGGTTTCAGAGGCACGGGGTAGGTGACCCAGATATTCCCTTGGAGTTTGACTACAGAGACTTGGATAGAATTTTGGCTCAGTATAAAGTCTGCCTCTGCCCCCTCCTCTTTCCTGTCCTTGGCCCACCTTCCCTGAGTATGCCCTCCTGGGCCTCCGCCTGTACCACTCTCTACTTCGGAAACTGCCATTGCTTAGCGACCAGTTCCTGCTGCCTGTCTAGCTTCACCAACTGGGATGGGGGTGGCATAGGGGGCAGCGAGGACACCAGGGCCAGGCTCGGGTGGGACTGCAGCAGTGATAGGACTAAGCCCCTAACTCAGTCTGTTCTTATACTGGTTGCTGGTAGAATGTCTGTGTCTCCTGGGAGACCAGCAACTCTCCCCAACTCTTACCCCGTTCATGACTGCACCCCAAGCCTGGACTTCTTTTCCCAAACCACAACCTCACCCCATCACTGGCCCTTAACCCTTCCCTGAATCCCCTCTCCAATCCCTGATTCTCAGTCCTCCATGCCAAAAGTCTCCACGTATTTCCCACGAAGATCAGTGAGGCTTAGAAGAAATAATTCATTTGAAAAGCCCTTGGAAAACCACACTGGTGGCTGGGCACGGTGGCTCACACCTGTAATCCCAGCACTTTGGGAAGCGAGGGTGGGGGGATTGCTTGAGTCCAGGAGCTCCAAACCAGCCTAGGAAACATACAGAGATCTTGTGTCTACAACAAAATAAAAAATAAAAAAATTAGCTGGTGTGGGGAGGTGCATGCGTGTCGTCCCAGCTACTCGGGAAGCTGAGCCCAGGAGGTAGAGGCTGCAGTGTGCTGTGATCTTGCCACTGCACTATATCTTGGGCAACAGAGTGAGACCCCAACTTAAAAAAAATGCAAAAACAAAACTCCAAAATATACTAGCTAATGACATCGACCATATTCTTGGCAGAAAATAACCTTCCCCCACTGCTGCCCATCTTGAGATGTGTCTTCTACTCTTGTCCTGGGTGGCAGGATGCGGGGAGGGTCCCAATGTGGAAAGGAGCCTAGGGCACAGAGGATGCCCTGTGTTCAGCCCACACCTCCTGGGTTTTCTTTCCACGACAACCTCCCTCCTCTGCCTGTTGTTCCATCAGATTTCAGATTGTGAGTTCTGGCTTTTGTTGCGAGGATGGAGTTTCTGGGACTGAAGACGTGTGTGCTATGGTGACCTCAGTGTTTGTAAACAAGGAAGGTGAGTATGGCCGAGGGGGTTTCTCCTAGCCCCATCCCTGGAGGTTCCGATCTGGGCCTCCTCATGTCCCTGACTCCTTCTCATTGGCCCTTTCCTTCCTGGGTTTCCTGGGCACTGGAAGCCAGGGAATAAATGCGGACAGCAGAGGAAAGGGAGGCTGTTTCTGTTGCTGGGTTCTCTGGGTTCGCCCTTCTGTGGTGAGTCCTTCCCACTCATCTCCCTGTCCCTCCATCTATCCTGTCCACCAAGCTGCCTATGAGGGAGACATGCGAGGTGACCTCCAAGGAAGACCTGGCCCCTTGAGTGGGCATGTGCTCAGAGAGGAGAGGGCAGAGTATTTGGAGTTATGGCTGCTAAAGTTTCCCAAGGAACGGTTCTGGGGTGGAGGTGGGGATGGGAACCAGTCCAGATGCCCAGAGGCCCTTGATTTTGACTGTGGAACTGGCTAGCTCTCCTTGAGGTGGGGGAAGCTGAGGATTTTGGTGAGAGACAAAGGGTGGGTTCAAGGACTGCAGGGCAAGCTTCAGGCTGGTGGTGAGGCCTCTCTACAGGATTTACCTATGGCCCTCAGTTCTGTGAGTGTTGCTTCCTTCCCTGCTTAGGGGGAAGTGGTTTTCAAGTTTGAGCCACATGAGTGCCTTGGGCAGGGGTGGCTGTGCTGCTGGTATTGAGGACCTCATTCAAGCAACTTCTCTGGATACAGGCTCTGAAAGATCCAGGAGATGGTGATAGGCTCCTCCCCAACCCCCGCCCCCCCATGGCCAGTCTGTGTGTGCACAGTTCTTTGGGTCAGAGACTGGAGACCAGCTGGGCAAGGCCTGTCACCTCTCAGCTGGTTCCTATTGATACCTTATCTCCCAGGTCCGGTCCCAGCCCCCTCTGATCCCTGGACTCTCTCTTTGCCCTGTCCTCCACTTTAATAATGGGGCACTTCTTGCTATCAGGTGATTCAGGCACTGGGGCAAAGGAGGGTGACTAAGGTGGGAACTGACTGCCTACAGGAAAAGCCTTTATCTGTTCTATCAACTACCACCAGTTCTTTGGGGGAGGTCATCTTGTCATCTCTCTGCCTCAGGCTCCCTTTTCTTTTTTCTTTTTTTTTTTGAGTTGGAGTCTCACTCTGTCACCCAGACTGGAGTGCAGTGGCCGCTCCTGGCCACCGCAGCCTGCTGGGCTCCAGCGATCCTTCCGCCTCAGCCTTCCGAGTAGCCGGAATTACAGGCATGCGCTACCACACCCGGCTGATTTTTTTACTTATTGTGGAGATGAGGTCTCGCTGCCCAGGTGGGTCTCGAACCCGCGGGCTCAGGCAATTCACTCACCTTAGCCTCCCAAAGGCGTGGGATTACAGGCTGAGCCACCAAGCCCGGTTTCAGGCTGCCTTTTCAACAACTCCTAAGTGGGAAAGTCTGTGGTTTCCTTTGGGGCTGGTCGCTTTCACTGCACTGGCCGCTCCAGAGTTTGCCTTGTGTCTTATTATAATCTGTCCTGATATATGAGGGGGACCCCTCCCCCCAAAACCAGAATTGTTGGTGGGAGGGCAGGCCCCTTGTAATACAGGTTTCCCCCACAGGTAAGTGTTCTAGGCATCAGTGTACCAGCTAGTGTTGTTGTGAGAGGCTGCATTGGCTTCAGTGAGCTTTTTTTGGAGAATCTTTCGATGCGTTTGCCCTTTTTTTTTTTTTTTGAGTTGGAGTCTCACTCTGTCACCCAGACTGGAGTGCAGTGGCCGCTCCTGGCCACCGCAGCCTCGACCTGCTGGGCTCCGGCGATCCTTCCGCCTCAGCCTTCCGAGTAGCCGGCATTACAGGCACGCGCTACCACACCCGGCTGATTTTTTTGTTTATTGTAGAGATGAGGTTTCGCCAGTTGCTCAGGCAGGACTTGAACCCGTAGGCTCAGGCAGTTCACTCACCTCGGCCTCCCAAGGCACGGGATTACAGGCTGAGCCACCGAGCCCGGATGGGTTTGCCCATTTCATGATGAGTGATTTACAGGGCACTTGCCTACACTGTGCTGAGTGTTCAGCAGTTTCTGACTAAAAAGGGCAGGACCGCCATGCGCTGCCCTCCCTCTTCTCCTGATCTTGCCCCAGTGACTTTTTGGTTTCCTTGGATGAAAAAATCCTCAAAGGGAAACATTGTGCCGACATGGAAGAGGTGAAACAAAAAATGGCAGAAGTACTAACAGCCATCAAAATTGATGAGCTCAAAAACTGTTTTGAGCCGGGCGGGGTGACTCGTGCCCGTAATCCCAGCACTTTGGGAGGCAGAGGTGAGAGGATTGCCTGAGCCCAGGGGTTCGAGATCAGCCTGGGCAACTCGGCAAGATCTCGTCTCTACAATAAATCAAATTAGCTGGGGTGTGGTGGTATGGGCCTGTAGTTCCAGCTACAAAGAAGGCCGAGGCGGAGGGATCACCTGAGCCCAGCAGGTCGAGGCTGTAGTGGCTGAGCATGCCACTGCACTCCAGGCTGGGTGACAGAGCGAGACTGACTCAAAAAAAACAAAACAAAACAAAAAAAACAACAAACAAACCAAAAAAAAACAAAGAAAAGCCAAAAACTGTTTTGAGCTGTGGAAAAAGTGTCTCAATAGGTATATTGCATCAAATAGAGTACTTTGATGGTGACTGAAGTTTAAACATGTAAGACTAAGTACACAATTTTTTTTCTTTTTTTTTGAGTTGGAGTCTCACTCTGTTGAACTCGTGGGCTCAGGTAAATCTTCTCACCTCGGCCTCTCAAAGTGCTAGGATTATAGGCATGAGCCACTGTGCCTGGCCCACTATATATATATATATATATTTGAGTTGGAGTCTTACTCTGTAGCCCAGGCTAGAGTGCAGCACAATTAAAAAAAAAAATTCCTGGTTTTTTTTTTTGGGTCCCCCTTGTATATGGATCCTCTTGTTGATGGGTTTCAGTTTCATTATGGGTTCTAGTCTCTGGTTCTTCGAGGGAGGGGCCTTGGAGGGGGGATAGTGCTGTGGGTGGGGAGAAAAGAAGGTCTGACTTCCTGAGGAATGTGATTGTCCCCTCTTCCCCTCCAGAGCTGCACATCGTGATGGAGACTCCTCTCGAGAAGGCGCTGACCACGATGGTCACCACGTTTCACAAATATTCGGGGAGAGAGGGTAGCAAACTGACCCTGAGTAGGTGGGAACTAAAGGAGCTGATCAAGAAGGAGCTGTGTCTTGGGGAGGTAGGTGACCATTCCCTCACCACCCTCCACGCTCCAAGTCTGGGTGCTCCCTCTGGGAGACACATACCTGCCCTCAGGGTACCCTAGCCTAAGCCAGGGGCAGGATGGCCAAGGGGTACGGACAGAGACAGAGGAAGAGGGTGGGCATCTTGGAGCAACCAGAACTCTGTCCCTCTGTGTGGGAGGATGAGTCAGAGTCTCATGGGGAGGAGGGAGGGCTGAGTCTGGAGGGTGGACCTTGGCTTATGTGGGGTTTAGAGAATGAGATCCAGGAGCCTTGGAAAGTGGGACCAGGCTCTTGCAGCGGGGTCATGGGTGGTAAAGGGCTGCAGGACATTCAGGTCAAGCTGTGTACAACTCAAGGGGAGGGACCCTGCCTGATTTCTCCTCCACATGTCTGGCATGGCCAGGGCTCTCAGCTGGTGCTGACAGGTGAACTGAAAGGTTAGTTTATGAACACAGGGTAGCAAGGAGACAGAACTGAATCTTACCAGATGGAGGTAGTGGGAGGGAGGTGACTGACAGAGGGGAAGGCCCATGAGGAGGATATTATATCATTTTTACGGTTAAAAAAAATCGTGTCGGGCACAGTGGTGCACACCTATAATCTCAGCACTTTGGGAGGCTGAGGTGAGAGAATTGCCTGAGCCTACGGGTTTGAGACCAACTTGGTGAGGCCTCGTTTCTACAATAAATCAAAAAGTTAGCTGGGCGTGATAGTGTGCACCTGTAGTTCCGGCTACTTGGAAGTCTGAGGCAGAAGGATCACCTGAGCCTGGCAGGTCGAGGCTGCAGTGGCCAGGATCATGCCACTGAACTCCAGCCTGGGCGATGGAGTGAGACTCCAACT